GTTAAAATGTCAATTGGTAGCAGAAAATAAAGCAAATATCATAAATATGTCATTTAGAATGTCAAATTGTCAATTTTGTCTTTAAGCTGTCATTTAGAAGTCACTTTTGACGTTAAAATCTTCGCGTGAGGCAAAATAATCAAATTTAACAGTTAGAACTTCAATTGGTGGCAAAGACTGAGGTTGACATGTCATTTAGAATGCCAAATTGTAAGAAAATTGTAAATTTAATCTTTAAGATGTCATTTAAATGTCATTTTTGGCATTAAAATTTACTTGTGATGCAAAACCAACAAATTTGACAGTTAAAACGTCAATTGATATCAAAATGTCAATGATGTTTAATTGATTTCAATTTGACATGTCAATTAGAATGTCAAACTGTAAATTTAATCATTCAGATGTCATTCAAATGTGACTTTTGACATTAAAAGCTCTGTGTGATGCAAAATTTGACAGTTAGAACGTCAATTGGTGGCAAGAATTGAAGTTGACATGTCAATTAGAATAACAAAATTGTAAAGTTAATGTTTAAGATGTCATTCAAATGTCACTTTTGTTAAAATTATTATATAAATCCATTTTCATCGATATTATTTAAGGTAAATTGAATAAATATTACTTTCTATTTTACTGTTAATCGATGTATCAATTAAAATATTTCCTTTACATGTTTCGGCTTATTAGGCCATCGTCAGAATGTTTAACGTTAATATGGTTGGGGAGGAATTGGTTCTTATTATTATTATTTGGAGCGATTTATCGTATTGTTCATATATTGAACTTTAATTTAACTTTACACTACTAATAACATCAACGGAACGATGTTCTTTTATTGCGACGAGATTTCAGGTTGTTATTAAAATCTACTTTTGATGCAAAATGATCAAATTTGACAGTTAGAACGTCAATTAGTAGCAACAATTAATGTTATTTAGAATGTCATACTGTAAGAAAATTGTAACTGAACGTAGCCAAAGATGATTTGACATTTAAACGTCATTTTGAATTTAGAAAATAAATTAATTAAAATTTTACGTTTATCAAATTACTCAAAACGTCAAATTTGACATTAAAAAGGGCGTACTTACTTGCTTTGTGCTAAAGTCCCTAGATTATCAAAGTACTGCGGTTCATGAAACCTGTGTATTCGAAATATTCGAGCCAAAATGGCGGTTTGACAGCTTGTCAGTGCCATGCTGTGTTAATTCCGTATAAGCATGCGTCAATAATAAATTTAGTTGTGACCCGTGATACCTTTGGCGCTGATAGCATACAACACAAGAACAGCTTCTTTACCGATTGAATTAATGTTCACATTTTTTATTTTTAGTTGTCTAAGAAATAATCTAAAAACTGTTTATGGCAGGCTGGTAGTTTATTTATAACGAAGTGACAAGTGAGTGACAAGAAGATTGAAAAGGAAAGTATTGTTAATGTTAATATTGATTAATGAAGTGAGTAACTAAAAGAAATAAAATCAGGGGTTTATATGTGTCATTTTCCAAACAACCAAGTGAATTGTGCTTATTTATAAAATAATTTTGTAATTTAATTATAGTTTTTTATTACATACTTTTTTTACTTCATTTTATATGTTTTTTTATTTTGTTGTTTTACTTGTATGTAATTTATTTTATCAAATTTTGTTTTATTATTAACATTATAATACCTGTTACACTATATAATTGTTTTTTGATAATTGTGTATGTTGAAATTTTGCAGAAACAAATTCGCTATAAGCGAAAATTGTTTTTGTTTATTTTTGTTTTTTTTCAAGGAAATCAAATTTGAAAGATTTTTAAAAATTCCCGCGCATGTTCACTAACGCCATTGGTATCGTGGGTCACAACTAAAAACAGCGTTAAATCTAAAGGTGGAGAACACGCCATCTATATAAGTATATATATTTATTTAATCTATGGTCAGTGCATGTTTTCACTTATTTACAAAAATAATGCCGTCGTGTTGCCTTTGGAGTTGCAAAAATAGCAGTAAGAAGGGCTTTCGACTCTTCAGAGTACCATGAGAAAAAAAAGAAAGGAAACTTGGCGTAATTTTATCAACAAAACAACATAGTTTTAAATTTCCCGCTTGACTTTCGAGTCAAAATGGCGGCAAACCGCGGTACTTTGTAAATCTAGGGACTTTACTTTGTCCCATATAAAATGCAACATGTCTGAATGTTTCTATACTGTTTTTAAACCAGGAGGAGTATTTTAAATTTGTCACCAGATTGACCTTGAACGTGATTGATTGAATGCGAGGAAGGTTCACACACAGGCAATTTTGAATTTGAAGGTTAGGTTATTGACAATTCGACAGTTTCGTGTCATTATTGTAAATTTTGTGTTCTTAAACCGTTCTTTATTATATTTTGAAATAAATACACTCATAACTTCAATGTTAATTTGTATGTTGAGTGTTGACGATAACAAACGAAAATAAATACAATAATAAGTAAACAAATAAATAATAATAATTATTAATTTAAATTTACCGCCAAAATATCTAGTGATATTTTCTGCTGATTTTTCCTAGTGTAAATCTGACTTTCGCGTTTACTCCTCCTGGTTTAAAAACGGAGTATAGTTCTAATTTTAGTTCTAGTGACACTGGTAGGTAGCGTTAGTTAACATCAGATATCACCATGTTGCATATTTTTATTGAATTAAAACTAGAACTAACACTAGACCTAGAACTAGAAAGTTTCGGGTTTAGACGCACAGCTAAACACGAATGTTTTTAGTTCTAGGTCTAGTGTTAGTTCTAGGTTTATACTAGCATTATCACTAGAACTAACACAAGATCTAAAACTAGAATCATTCGGGATTAGCCGTCTTGAGAGACGTGCGGCTAAATCCGAATGTTTCTAGTTCTAGATCTAATGTTAGTTCTAGTGAGAGTGGTAGGTAGCGCTAGTTAGCATAAGATATCACTATGTTGTATATTTTTATTGCATTAAAACTAGAACTAACACTAGACCTAGAACTAGAAAATATCGGGTTTAGCCGCGCGTCTTCAGACGCACGGCTAAACCCGGATGTTTCTAGTTCTCGGTCTTGTGTTAGTTCTAATTTTACACTAGCACTATCACTAGAACTAACACAAAACCTAGAACTAGAATCATTCAGATTTAGCCGTCTTGGAAAATATTCTGCTAAATCCGCATGTTTCTAGTTCTAGGTCTAGTGTTAGTTCTAGTTTTACACTAGCACTATCACTAGAACTAACACAGGACCTAAAACTAGAATCATTCAGATTTAGCCGTCTTGGAAGACGTGCGGCTAAATCCGAATGATTCTAGTTCTCGGTCTAGTGTTAGTTCTAATTTTACACTAGCACTATCACTAGAACTAACACAAGACCTAGAACTAGAATCATTTAGATTTAGCCGTCTTGGGAAACATTCGGCTAAATCCGCATGTTTCTAGTTCTCGGTCTAGTGTTAGTTCTAATTTTACACTAGCACTGTCACTAGAACTAACACAAGACCTAGAACTAGAATCATTCGGGTTTAGCCGTCTTAAGAGACGTGCGGCTAAACCCAAATGTTTCTAGTTCTAGGTCTAGTGTTAGTTCTAGTGTTAGTTCTAATGTTAGTTCTTTCAAGTTAGGGAGTACCAACCTTGAAATATAAAACAAAATTAGTTAAAAAGTATATTTTGACGTTCCCTTTCAATTTAAAATGTCACAATAATAAACTTATTTAAGCGAGTTATTTTGTATTGCAAAATTGAAAAATGTTCCCATACGCGAAATCATAAATCGTAATTTGTGTCGGAGTGAAATAATTATTTCGATTTGAAACGGTATGAAGTAATGTTGGTAATATTTCTAAGACGGTAAATGTTTAACCACACTCTAAAATAGATTAATTTTTGTTTAATTTGTTAAAGAAAAACTTTCTTTTCTTAAAGTAGTATTTCCTTTTTAATCTTCTGTAGATTTCCTGTTTAATTGTTGCTTAAAAACTCATTCATTAGGAGTTGAGCTGTGGGAGGCGATACAATCTTACGTAAACTTAATTAAACAAGGTAACACATTGTTTTAAGAGAAGATTAGGAAATGGATTAATAAGAATTCTTTTCGGCGATCATAAATCATTTAAATGAAATCTTTTCGCCCGTGAAACGACTTCGTTATTTATTTTCATTACTAAATCTAAAGTTGAAATCAGCATCTTATTTGCACACATAATTTGGATAAGTGCCATACCACGTTCGCATATTTCGAATTGTTTTTGCAACCCGAAACGGAGCGTTTCTAAATCGAACGTGGACTTAAATACGAAACCATTAAATGCAACAAGGTATCAATTATAAGAATGATTGGAGAAAGGACATTTTGGTTCACGGACGTTTGACCTAATTTTTCTTCATTTCCTCTTCTCTAAAATAACATTTTTAATCGTAAAATTTAAAAAAAAATTATTTTACTTAAAAATTATAATCAAAAATTAAAAATCCTTTAAAATGAATACAAACACGACTAATTTATCTTAAAAAATATCCGAGTTAACCTAAAAATAAAAAGTATAACCTCACTTTTTAATAAATGTTAAAATGATCGTATAAATATTTTTTTGAGATAAATGTGTCGTGTTTGGACTCATTTTAAAGGATTTTGAATGCAGAATACGAATTTAATATTAAAAATGATTTTTTTTATACTATATTTATTTTATATTATTTATTTAGTAATATATTTAAGTAATCAAATAGAATATTAAGGCTGCAAAATGTGTTAGCGAGATGACGAAAGTGAAATTGTTGAAAATGATTCGAATACCAACTATGTAACATAACGTAACGCCCAGCGAACGACTCCACCTTTCATTCGAAACTGCAAGCAAGGTCGAACTTGGTATTCACGTACAACCATCTGGAGAGTTTTAAATTTTAGATTTGTTAAAATCATTTTTACTAAAATTTATTTAATATGAAATAAAATAAAGCAAATATTTATTCGTTTTTAATGTATTAACTTCTTCTTTATAGTGTTATCTGTTACCGAGGCACTTTCACCAACTTTAAAGAGAAGAATTTCGGGTCGGAAGCGGTGTATGACATCAATGGTAGTGTATAATAAGTATTTTATTGAATAAAAATGTTATATTTTTTAACAAATTTAAACTTAATTTGATAATTTAATCATTTTGAACAACTTGGTATAGCTAGAAACGAGAGCACAATGATATACACAAGTTTTCAGTAATAACCAGCTAGTTTTGAATAAATTAGACAGGCATTTACCAATTTTTAATCATTTTAAATATATTTTTTTAGCTATAAACCAGATTTTAAGCATTTAGACAATGTGTCAATAATTACCAAAACGTTTGTAATTATTTTGAACAACCTGGCGGAGTTATACATCATTTTGCAAACATTTAGACAAGTTTGAATCATTTTAATAAATTTTGCAACGTTGTAGGTTTGTTTTTAACTACATTAGATGCTGTTTTATATGGTTTTGAACAACTTGGAATGGCTATAAATCATTTTGTAATCATTTAGACAAGTTTCTAAACGTCATTAACCAATTTTTAATCATTTTAAACAACTTTGCAACGTTATAGGTTTGTTTTGAACGACATTAGATGCTGTTTTTTTTATTATTTTGAATAACTTTGAATAGCTATAGATCATTTTGTAAAGACTACTGCAGTTATAGCTGCAAGCTACTTACTGCAAAGTGCAGGAGTTCTTTTTTAATGTATTGTCTTCTTCTTTACAGTGTATGAGTTACTGAGGCACTTTAACCAACTTTAAAGAGAAGAATTTCGGGCCGGAAGCGGCGTTTTTAATTTCGGTGTCTTCCGGAAAATATTGAGAGAGAAGTATGGCATCAATGGTAGTGTATAGTAAGTATTTTACTGAATAAAAATGTTATATTTGTTAACAAATTTAACCTTAATTTGATAATTTAATCATTTTGAACAACCTGGCATAGCTAGGAACCAGAGCCCAATAATATACACTACTTTTCAGTAATAACCAGCTAATTTTTAATAATTTAGGCAAGCTTTCAATGATTGCTTTTACATTTTGAGTAATTTTTATAGCTATTAACCAGATTTTAAGCATTTAGACAATGTGTCAATGTCATTTAGATAAGATTTAATCATTTTAATAAATTTTGCAACGTTGTGGGTTTGTTTTTACCGACATTGGATGCTGTTTTATATGATTTTGAACAACTTGGAATAGCTATAAATCATTTTGCACTCATTTAGACAAGTTTGCAAACATTACTAACCAATTTTTAATCATTTTGAACAATTTTGCAACGTTATAGGTTATTTTGAACAATGTTAGATGCTGTTTTTTTATTGTTTTAAATAACTTGGAATAGCTATAAATTATTTTGTAAAGACTATTGCAGTTATAGCTGCAAGCTACTTAATGCAAAGTGCAGGAGCGGACTACAAAGTATGTCATATCATATTTTAAATCATAACTGTAAATTTATTAACATTACTGCGGACTGACGACTACAGGTCATAACCAGAAGTGACACTGGCGCCAAATCTTGCGCCATATTGTTACGAGGAAGCAAGTTTTTGCTGTTATTGGTGGTAAATTAAGTTGTTTCTGTTTAAGTTGTCTTTCTTATTTATTGTGCGTTCATCGTGCTTATGGATCCTCGCGATGTGATGGCGGATTTTAATCGAGGTCATAAAACGAGACTCCGCCAACATCAAATAATCGACGTCAGTGTCACTTCTGGTTATTTTGTGTCATAACTATGACGTGTTTGTTGTAAACTATGGGTGTACAGATGGTAAATCATAGTTTGCCATTTTACCCACACTTGGTTAAATTTGTGCACATTTAGAGCACTGTATAAAAATCGCAATTGCCCCCAAGAGTAATGATAATGCCATCTCTTACCCCATCCCACCTTCATTCATTTCTTTTTAATTTTACAGATGGTGGATTTCTCGGAAATTTCTATTCTTTGCCCTTCAAGAATTGCATTTTGCTGGTGTCTACGTGTAACACTGGTAAGTGTTCTTTTTTTTTATAATCATGGGTTGGGTTGGGTTGGGTTGGGTTGGGTTGGAACCAGAGACCAATGATATACACAAGTTTTTAGTGATAACCAGCTAGTTTTCAATAATTTAGACATGGTTTCAATGATTACTTACCAATTTTTAGTCATTTTGAATAGCTTTATAGTTATGACCCAGATTTTAAGCATTTAGACAATGTTTCAACGATCACCAACAAGTTTGTAATTATTTTGGACAACCTGGCAGAGTTTTACATTATTTTGCAAACATTTAGACAAGTTTCCAAGCAATTTTCAATCATTTTAATAAATTTTGCAACTTTGTAGGTTTGTTTTTATCTACATTAAATGCTGTTTTATATGGTTTTGAACAACTTGTAATGGCTATAAATCATTTTGCAATCATTTAGACAAGTTTCCAAACATTATTAACCAATTTTTAATCATTTTGAACAACTTTTCAACGTTATAAGTTTGTTTTCAACGACATTAGATACTGTTTTTTATTGTTTTGAATAACTTGGAATAGCTATAAATCATTTTGTGAAGACTACTGCAGTTATAGCTGCAAGATACTTACTGCAAAGTGCAGGAGCGGACTACAAAGTATATCATAGCAGAGACTACAGGTCATAACTATAAACTGTGTGTTGTAAACTATGGGTGTACAAATGGCAAATCATTGCTATCTTTTGGCAAGAGTAATGATAATGTTATCTCTTATCCCATCCCACCTTCATTCATTCCTTTTTAATTTTGCAGACGGTGAGATTTTGCTGGTATCTACGTGTAGTACTGGTAAGTGTTCTTTTTTTATAAGCATGCTTATGAGATCAGTTCTAAATCTCATAATTCTTCTCTCATTCTTCAATGTCTCACCTCTTTTGCAATTAAGCTATTCAATCGTTAGATGTAAATAATAATGATATAATTATCTAGAATGATGAGTTATCATGCTGTGGCTGTTTGGAATTTAAATCCAAAGCGTGCTAACAACCATCTTAGTACATCTTTGTTTTTATACTGTACGATAATGACACTAGACAAGGAGAACATTCTGTAGTGCATATTTGTAAATTCTGCAGAAACTTTTTTAGCATAAACTTAAAATTTGCGCAGTTGCCAGCTCTCGGAGCATGGTCTTATTTGGTAGTGTATTTTGTATGATTCTTTTTCTCACGATTAGCAGATTTTGTCTTCTCGACTTGAGGATTCTCCATCATCAATCTTGTCTTTGTATCCTCTCCCAGTGTAATATCATAAAGTTGCAGTGCAAAGATTTTGGCATTTTGATAAAACAAGTTTTCAAACATTACCAACCAATTTTCAATCACTTCTAAAAATTTTGCAACGTTATAGACTTATTTTGAACGACATTTGATGCTGTTTCATATGGTTTTGAACAACTTGGAATAGCTATAAATCATTTTGCAATCATTTAGACAAGTTTCCAAACATTACCAATCAATTTTTAATCATTTTGAACTATTTTGCAACGTTGCAGGTTTGTTTCGAACATTCTTAGATACAGTTTTATATGATTTTGAACAACTTGGAATGGATTTTATCTTCTATTTTATTATCTTATTTTAGCTTCTTGCAATTAGCTGTAGTAATCACGGAACTAGTAACTGAATGTTTCACTTCTTTGTTAAGGGTTCCACTTTCCTCTAAGTTTGTGATATTAGGAAGTGTGTATTTAGCATAAATCATCATAAATATGATTGAAAATAGTGTTTCTTCTGGGACACCTCTATAAGAAAACCTTAATTATTTTTTGAACAAGTTTTTTCTTTTAATTTAATTAAAGTGACCTAAAATTACAATTAAGAATGGCATCGACGGATGTATAAAGAAATATCCTTGAACTTTCTAATGCGCAAAAATAAATCTGTACAACGCCAACACAGACATACACCAAGAGATACCTTCACCATATCCTTTTTCTTTTAAAACTCGATTAAAAAAAAAATAATTTCGTACTTGAATTTATCTACGGACCATTGTTTTTGAATTTACACCACAACACGCGTGCGTGTGTTGTAAACGAAATTGCCCAACCAAAAAGCGTGCCACCGAAAAAATCTCTAAAAAAAGAAACAATGGTCCATTTAGTGCGAGTGTGAAAAAATTAAGTACACTTAATATGATGAAGAATTCGAGTAATACAATTTTCGGGTTAGTTTCGCTAATTTCTAGTTTTAAACTTGTGGGGAATGGAATTTTTTCTTTCTTAGAATCCAACTTTCTAAAACTGGACGTTACATATTTGAGTTTTACTATGAAAGTAGAGCAGAACGAGTATTATACGAAAACATAAAACATCATATTAAATTTTGTTACGTTAAATTCGTATTGGGTTTAAACATTACCCGATAAAACGTTTTGAATCGAAAGGGATCATAAATAACGAAGCGCACGTTTTCAATGTGTTCCCACGTAGTCTTTAACAAACAAATATTTCGCAACAACCTTCTATTTTATTCTATTCTATTTTTATTTACACTATAATGTTTAAATAAAAAAAGTTATTTGAGTTTAATCAACGCTTTTTAGATTATTTCAATATTTATTAATTTATTCTTGAGTGTAGGCAACTTATTTAGATAATGTGTCATAGAAGTTGCCTATATTAAAAATTTTTAAATTCATAATTCGTAAAAAAATTTTTTTTCAAATACATATTTTTCTTTTAAAAACTAAAAGTTATTTTTCAAAATGTATTCGAAAATTTTCATACTCATATTCCAAGAAATCGATTTTATACGAATTTTTAAACCTTAATCGGCGAAAATTACAAAATTCGAAAGAATTGACGATTATTTCAAAAATTTTTTTCTCAAGAACTAAAAGTGATTTTTCAAAACGGCTTTTTGCATTAAAAAGAGGATACTTTAGTTAATAATTGGTGATATTTCCACAAGGATCCAGCAAGAAATTAATTTTATAGCGAATTTTGAAAGTTATCGATGAAAATTGCAACATCGAAAATTTTATCAAATCTTCAAATATTGTTTTCTTAAAAATTAAAGGTTATTTTTCAAAACGGGTTGGTTCATTGGAAAGAGGACACTTTTATTAACACTTTGGGAAATTTTCATACTCATATTCCAAGAAGTGGATTTTATACGAATTTTTAAAACTTAATCGGCGAAAATTGCAAAATTCGAAAAAATTATTTCAAAAATTAATTTCTCAAGAACTAAAAGTGATTTTTCGAAACGGCTTTTTGCAGTAAAAAGAGTATACTTTAATTAATAATTGAAAGTAATAGCAACGACAGTTCTGTTAGTAATGAATGTGATGATTAATTGCAAGTGAAGAGAAGAAAACTAGACCAAACTGCAAGAACAGATTTTATATATCGTATTAGGATTGTTGTAATGAGCGGCCAAAGCCGGATATTTGGTAACTATCCGGTATCCAGCCGGATTTTAAAAAATTGCCGGATATCCGTTTCACCACTACTGTATAGGGTGTTAATTCCATAAAACTACACTCAGCGGCAAAAAAAATGCATCACCTAAAATAATGACAAGGTTCAAACTGCAATAACTTTTGAATGTATTGCTCGATTTGAATAAGGTTTTTTTTTATTAGAAAGGTCTACCCTTTTCTAATATTTCTGTAGGTGCGTTCCCCATTTTGGCGCTCTTCAATTTCAGCAATGGTTAATAACGCTTTAATAACACTTTGAAGCTTGCTATGGGGTGCACCGACAAAATAAATTAATTTTAAACACAAGAAGCTTGTAGTCTCGTCTGTTCTGATGATTTCTGTTTTTTGTTCAACTTCCTATTATTGTTAACACCAAAGTTACAAGCTCTAAAGTATAACGCAGCTTCTTCGGCAGCACCATCAGAAATTAAACCAAGCCATGGAAATTGACGAAAACATTTCAGTGACGTTTAGTGTCGTTAACATCGTTAACTGTTGCTAGACAAGAAGAATACCTTTAAGTCTTACCTTCTGTAAGGTAGGTAATTTTCATATTTTTCTCAATATCTATGCATCTAGGAGTAAAAGTACAAGAGAGTAATATTGTTAAGAATAAAATTTGCTACAACTTTTCTTCTAAAAGTTTTTTTCTAGTATGCTTAGATTCCCCAGTAGTACCTCCCATCAGCAACTTGCAAAAAACAAGGATTCTCAAATTTTCATATTTTTCTCAATATCTATGCATCTAGGAGTAAAAGTGTAAGAGAGCAATATTGTTAAGAATAAAATTTTCTATAACTTTTGTTCTAAAAGTTTTTTTGTAGTATACTTATATTCCCCAGTGGTACCATCAACAACTTGCAAAAAAACAAGGAATTCATCAAATTTTCATATTTTCCTATTTTTCTCGATATCTATTCATCTAAGAGCAAAAATGCAACAGAGCAATATTGTTAACAACAAAATTTGCTACATATTTTGTTTTAAACACTCAGGCAGTGACTTTGATGGAAGATAGACGCAGCACATTCGTTATACCGCTCGTGTTCTTGGCGCGATACAGAGTATAGTTTGTCACGCCATTCAAAAATTTCGACAGACCTTCATCAGACGACCTGGACCAGGAAGAAGATGAACCACATAATCCCGTGATGATCGATGTATTGTAACGATCGTGTTACGAAATCGGTATACCACAGCAGTTGAGATAAGAAATCGTCTGGAGCAAGTACATTGGATGAACGTGAATGAACGCACAGTAAGAAGGAGATTTGAAGAAGCGGGGTTAAGATCACAGAGATCAGCAACTGGACCATACTTGCTTTGAGAACTTCGTGTTGCTCGATTACAATTTCCACGAGATTATCTTCAGTGGACCAATGCAAAGTGGCGAAACGTACTGTTCTCAGACGAGGTTCGGCTTGTACTCTCCAGCTGGTCGAGAGAGAGCAGGAGAGTGTTATGCTTAATACATTTTTTTGGATATCAGCAGAATAGAATGGCCTGCACGTAGCCCTGATTTAAACCCTATAGAACACATGTGGGATATGCTAGAGAGACGAGTTAGAGCCGCTATACAAACGCTAGATGATCTCCAAATAGCGCTAGAAGAAGAGTGGAACCAGATTCTCTAAAATGAATTTAAGCTTCAAAATGTAGGAAGAAAACACGGATTAGCGTTATTCATCATTGCTGAAATTGAAGAGCGCCAAATGGGGAAGCTACTTACAGAAATATTGTCAAAGGGTAGACCTTTCAAATAAAAAAAAACCTTATTCAAATTGAGCAATACGTTCAAAAGTTATTGCAGTTTGAAACTGGTCAACATTTTAGCCGCTGAGTGTATTTTATTATGTATAATTGTATATTTTATTATATATTATCACGAAACAGTTCTTCAGATGCACGTATAAAACAATTTTTGACGTAGTCACCATCTGTGAATGATTTTCCTCCTTTTGCAACTTCTAATGATACTTCAAAGCCAATAAATTATTAATTTTTTCGTATGGACCTGGAGAGCCGCAACTTTACATTAAAAGAGTTTTAGATCAACAATTTTTACACGAATCGTTATCATTTTTTACTTTAGTATTTTTAATTAAAATTATGCCATGATTTACAGAAACACCCTGTATATTCGTGATAGAAATTATTAAAGAAGAATTATTTTATTTTCTTTCCATTTATTAAAAACCGCATAAATACAACACACAAGATCACACTTTAATCAATTCAAATTTATTTTATATTTATTATTTTTATTTCCTTATCGATAAAGATTTCGTAAATTAATTAATTGAAAACTTGGACAATATTTACAGTCTAATTTAGGAATGAATTTTATATAAAAAGAATTTTGATTCGCCTGCATTGAGGACTAGGAACGAAAAGTTGTTGAATTTAAAAAAAAATAATCAGTTTTGAACTTTAGGTTAAAATAAGTATTTTTTAATGATAGAAAAAGAGAAAATATAAGATTTGAGATTTAAAAGAAGAAATTAACTTGTTCAACCTAAAATTCACACAAATTTTTTTTAAATAACCCAACAACCATCGAATCCTTTAACTTAAGATTTAAAATAAAATTTCGATTAAAAATTTAATCGTTAAAGGATTACCAAAAAAAGTATAAATTAATAATATCCAAAACTAATATCGTGTAAAGGTGCTCCACCTCCATTTGGAAGGGCATAATCCTTAGCTAATTGGTCCAAAATTCCTCCGCTACTTCTTACGGCCGTTGCAGGTCTCGCAATTGGTCTTGGTGCTTGAGCTGGAGCTGGAGCTGGTGCGAATTGTGGTTGAGGTGCAGGTCGTGTTTGAGGTGCAAATCTTGGTTCATCAAAAGAAAAACTTTGTTTTTGAACCGGAGCTGGAGCTGGTCTTGAAAACGCATCGTCATCAAACGAGAATCTTGTAGGTGCCGGTTTCGGAGCTGGAGCTGGTTGGGCGTAAGAAATCTTTGGAAGTGGTCTCGTGTCGAAATCATCCCCGAAACTAAACGAAGCTGATGGTCTTAAAGGAGCTGGAGCTGCTCCCGAAATTTGTGGTCTTTGAGGAATTGGTCTTTGTGGGGCGGGTTCGAATTGTTGGGGTGGAGAGTAAGAATCGTAAGATGGTGATGGAGCTGGACGTGGAGCTGGGCGTGGTGCTGGACGAGGAGCGGGACGTGGAGCAGGTGCTGGTTCTGGGTCGTAGAATTCAGCGGTGTACTCGGGTTTAGTTGAACCATCTTTGTTAGTAGTTTCATCGACTAACGTGGGGGGAGCTACGGTAATTCCTTCACCGGCTGGTTCAAAACCGTATTTGGTGGCACCATATTCGACCACTCGGACTTTTCCAGTATCGTCAACATAGCCATATTTTCCTTTTACTTCACCAGTTGGAAGTTTTGTTTCAATTTTGAAGGAACCATCAGCACCTTCGTAACCATAAGTATAGGAACCATCTTCGTTATGCCTACAATAAAAAAAAATTAGTATCTCTTTTAGGTGTTGGACACTGCAGATAATAATCAAGTTCAACCTCAATAGGACTTTTCGTCACCCTAATTAGCAAACCTCGTAACTCCATTTTTATCATAATTTTAGATATTTGCGCCATGTGTTAGTATGACTTGGTAGCTACGTTGTAACTCCGTGTTAGTTGGTATAGCGTTAAAAAAAACCTCGTAACTCCGTAACGTTTTGTGCCAAGGGATCTCCAAAGCGGAAGCTAGATGAAGATGTGGAGATAGAAGCTAGTGAAGTATACTTCTTATCTGAAGATACTTTGGAAGACGAAAACATAGAAGTTACTGAGAAAAATGCCAATAAGGTGTCACAAACTGAAGACACAGATTATCAACCTACTGCAGTTCAAAGTTGCAAAGAAAAAGATTCGGAGCCTAACTCAGCGGAAGATATTTCTAGGGATGAAATTGTGAAAGGCAGTGTGAATCAAAATACTACTAAAACATCAACTGCCGAAAATCCAAATTATCGACCTACTGAAGACTTGAATAGCGAAGAAGAAAATGCGGAAAACGAAGAGCCTTTGAGAAGAAAAAGACTGAAAAGAAGACACGTTAAAAAAGGCAACTGGAAGAGGGAGCAAAATAAAAGAAGAAGAGAGCTGGGCGACTCGTATAAAGGAAAAAAGATAGTTGATGGGAAATGGGAATACAGCATTCCAAACCAACAGCTAGTTCTGAAAGAGAGGTGTTCGTGCAAAATATCTACCAAAAATCAGGGTTCAGCAAAAAAGCCTACATTAAAATGTTATTTATTTTCTAAGGAGGATAGAGAATCAGAATTCGACAGTTTTTGGAAATTGAGTTGGAAAGAAAAGAAACATTTTGTGCAGCTGAATATGAAATTGGGTAAAACTCAACGACACAGAGATCGAAAAGAAGAGGAGAACTCACGAAGGGTAAATAGCTTTACTTACTATTTACGAAAAAACAATGAACGACTCAAGGTGTGCAAAAGAATGTTTCTTAATTCACTAGGAATAGGAGACAGTTCCTTTAAATGTGAAATGAAAGAAGATGAAACAGAACTTGGTTTACACTCTACGGCTGATGATGACGAATCTATAAAAACTGAGACAAACCGGAAAAATGAGGACCCAAGTCAAAAGAATCAACATCTAAGAAATTATATCTCGAACCACAATGGCAGTCCAAACAACAGTTGTATGAACTCTACAGTAAAGATTGGTGTCATCAAAGGAACGTCGAGCCATTTTTTACTACTTATTTTGAAAACTATTTCAACGACATGAATTTGTGTCTATTTCAAAAAAAAGAAGGACCAATGTAACTTATGTGTGGCTAAAAATGCGAATAATATTTTAGAAGAAGAATACACAAAGCATCAAGCAAAGAAAAAAGAAGCCAGAGAGGAGAAGGAGCAGAATAAAAGCAGTGAGAGCAACAAAGTGTATACTATGGTGATACAGGCAGTTCTTTGGTGCCCAAAATCAAATGTCTCCAGCTTGTATTATAAAACAAAGTTAGCTGTACACAACTACATACATGCTGGTGCAAATGAATTTTCTACAATAATTTGCTGCTTTGCAGAAATCCTGCAGCCACGTCTTCAATCTGGACAAGAACTAATTTTTGTTTAGCGATGGTTGTACTGGCCAAAATCGCAACGCTATTCTGTCCAGTACCTTACTTAATTTGCCGTCCATCACAAAGTGCGTGTTGTCCAGAAATAATTAAAACACACAAATGGAAGCTGATTCCATGCATTCTTGCATAGAACGGCAACTACGAAATAAAATTATAAATGTGCCTGCAGATTACTTCTCATGTTCAAAAAGCTCGTAAACGACCAGAAACATATCAAGTAAAATATTTAAAGTACAGTTTTTTGCAGCATGCACTGAGGACTGGCAGCCTCTCCCAATTAGAGATAACAAAAAGGTACCTTTAGGCATACCATTTAATGAGATACCACAACTTTACCAAGAAAAATTGAAAATTAAACAAGAAAAGTTTCAACATCTCCAGACATTAAAAAACACTATGCTGTCTGATTACTACGCATTCTATGATAACTTTAAAGTTTTGTTTTTCATAGTATGTTTTACGTAATTCATTTTGAGTTTACTCCTAGTACAGTTTGTTGTCGAGTGCTTAGTTGCATGTTTAATTTTAAGTAAATTAATGCTAGTTCTTAGAAATATATATATTTTCTTGAAGTACTTTTCTTTTTAATGTGACGTTTTTCATTGAATACAACTTTATTTATATCAGGATTATCTTTAGCAACCTCATTTTAACAATCCTAATACGATATATAAAATCTGTTGTTGCAGTTTCGTCTAGTTTCCTTCTCTTCACTTGCAATTAATCATCACATTCATTACTAACAAAACTGTCGCTGTTATGACTTTCGATTATTAATTAAAGTATCCTCTTTTTAGTGCAACAAGCCGTTTTGAAAAATCAGTTTTAGTTCTTGAGAAATAATTTTTTGGAATTTTGCAATTTTCGCCGATTAAGTTTTAAAAATTCGTATAAAATCTATTTCTTGGAATATGAGTATGAAAATTTCCCAAAGTGTTAATAAAAGTGTCCTCTTTCCAATGAACCAACCCGTTTTGAAAAATAACTTTTAGTTTTTGAAAAAACAATATTTGAAGTTTTGATAAAATTTT